TTCTGAATATTTTATACAAATGGAATCATTACTGTAGGTGGTCTTATACTCTGACTTCTTTGACCCCAGGCAGTTCTTTCTGTACCTGTGGGTCTCTGTGCTGCTGCTTCTAGCCATGGAGAAATGCAGACAGCATAAGATGGGCAGCATTCCAAGGAGCCATCGTCCCATGGAGTCCATAAATGAATATAAGAATCTTGAGGAGCTCAGCAATTAGAGCAGAAACTTGTGGATATATTGGTTCTATTTGGGATAAGAACTGAAACTTCACAATCCCTTAGGCTATTGGGCTAAGATATCTTTGGAATGGGTCTCCTTGTCCATCCTTGATCCCAGCTTTGCCTTCCCTACAAGCTTTTCACACACACATACTGTAAAACATTGGTATCACAGCTGCTACCCTTGGAGATATAGGAAAGAACTAGGTGTGTGGGCATGTTTGCGAGGAGAGGGGAGGGTTTGAATGGAGGAGTAAGAAGACCAAATGGGAGTGTGATATACATTTGATGTCAGATCTTGGCTGCTCTTCTTTTCAGAGGTCTCCCCAGCAGCCTGCTGAAGACCTTCCTCTGCTAGAGACAACCCTTCCTGGGACAAACTGAAAGTGTTTGGCTTAGGAGCTTCCTGGGAGCTGCCAAGCCAAGCCAAAATATTACTGTGTACTGAGCTTTAGCCTATTTAATTCCCACAACCCTATGATGAGAAAACAGGTGTTGAGTATTTCATCTCTCTCAGTCATATAGCTAACACTTGAACCCAATTCTGTCTGTCTAGCTGTATTCAAATGTTCATAGAATTTTCACACAGGGAAGCAAGGTCAAGGCTCCTTCTTCTGACTGCACAACACTGTCTTACATTCTCAGCCATCCAAAGGTAGATTCCTTCTTTAAAGTTAGAGCCTCTGTGAACTGGATAGGACAGGCATGTTGGCATAGCTTCTGGCTGAACATCTACTGTAGAGTTTGAAAGAAATTAGAAACGAGGCCTTCCATGGATGAGTTCTTTCATGTCTTCTCTTGCAGCCAACAGGAAGGCTGGGTGTGCAGTCACATCTCTACTAGCTTCCGAGCTGACCAAGGATGACGCCATGACTGCTGTTCCTGCCAAGATGTCCAAGAGCACTGAGGGAGTCTCCACAGTCCTGGAGGAAACCAATGAGTTGGTTGGCCGAGCAAGCTAACCTGGGTCCTGTGGTCACAGCAGCTCCTTAGTGGACTGTCCTGCCCTGTAGCATGTGCCTAACGGGTCAAAAGGACATGGCTCGGGTGGCCACTTGCGCCACCCTGACCCTGTCTTTCTCACTGGTCTGCTGCTCTCTGTCCATCACATACAGCTTCAGCTGCCTAGAGGCCAGGAGGAAAGGGAAGTGTGGGGGAAGTTTGAGCCCAACCCAGCCAACCCTGGCTGATGTATTACCAAAGCAGGGTCCATATTTGCTGCCTTAACCCTAACTGTCTCTGTTACTCTGAGGCCTCACCTCAGACAAGGCCCAGCTTGCTTCCTCAGCCCCTGACTTCCCAGTGGGCTTTCTCTAGGTCAATCTTGCTGGATTTGTGCTTTTCTTTTATGGTTTCTCTGACCCTAAGAACAGCATGGGGTTTGTGAATCTTTGGGCTATATCCCTCCTGCCATAACTGTCACTTTCTCTTCCTTCTCCTGGCTATTGTTATTTATTGCTAGTGGTGTGACACTGGGAGCTGCTTCTAAGGAAGGGGGCAGCAAATCCCACCCTTACCTCCCCTTCCTGGGAAAGGCCTCCCCAAACAAAAAGGATTTGGACTGCTTTTCTTATTCATTTGTGGCCCAGAGACAGTGTGGGACTTGCTCTCAGCCTGCTACCTGTTTCTGCTTTATGACCTTGCCTCTGTGGACTCTCTGCACCAGCCCCCAGGCTACTGAGCCAAGACCCCTCTTCACTCCCTCCCTATCCCAGCACTTTTGGTGTGTCTCATCTGAGCTGAATTGTGACCATCCCAACACTTCACCCTCTGTGTCTCCAAGGAAATGGGAGGTGGAGCCTCCTGGCTGAGAAATTGTTTTGCAAATGGATCTATT